CACGTACGCGGCGTCCACACACATGTGTGCCACGTCGACAGACGCACGTGCAGCCTACTCTAGATTCAGAGGCCGAGTTGGGGGTGGGGAGTGTAGCCTCTTTGGGGCCACAAACAAGTTTCAAGGCCAAATACACCTACAACACTCCTGATCAAAGTTCTAGCCAGACCCTGGCCTGACGGGGCCCAGATTTCTCCAAGAACAGCTTTTCAGGCCCACGGAATATGCCTGGCTCAGCAGAATGCTTAATCCCTCGGAGGCCGCCTGGCTTCCTTGGCCCTGGCTGAGATAACAGGGCTCTGGCACCGCGAAAGCCAGGCGCTGAGGCAGGAGTAACAGCGCCGGGGTTGGGGAACACAGCCTCGCGTGACTTCTTCTCCACCATTTACCCAATGTGCTCCCAGAATCCCTCACAGAGCTCCCTCGCCCTGGGCCCCCGTGGGGCACCCCAGGCTGTGGTTTGGGCTCCCGCGCTCAGTGCTCTGGGCCGGGCCCAAGAGCTGCGGAAGTGCACGTGACTAGAGCGCCACCTGGTGTCTCCATAGCCCGGCAGAGGCTGAAACAAACACCTATGCTTTTCAAACCCAACACTGCTCCACCGCACGTAGCACCTGCATTCTACACTGTGTCCCTCAGCCTGGGGCTCTAACAGACGTTCTCACCCCAGAGGCCTGGAATCCATAACCCTGATATCTGCCTGGGCCTGAGACACATCTATCCTCAGGGGGTAAGGCGGGGTGTGTGTGTGTGTGCTGTGCGTCAGACATCTGCAACAGCACGCAACTCCTCCTTACCTCCCACCAAGCATTGTTTCCTCTGGGAAGATACCATTATCCCATATACAAGGCCCTTCTTTCCTGGGCCATATGTCCAGGAGGGACACACGTCTGCCTCACCCCTGCTGTCCCCAACACCATCTATGGTCATGACTCTGAAGTAAGCCATTAGACATGGCCAGTTCAGACCCTGGAAGGTGTGGCCTAAAGGTTAGCATATGAGGATACAGATTAAGAACGTAGCAAAGTGGGGGGCAGAGTCATGGCTCTGCAGTTTCTTAAGTTTGGTTGGGCACCCAGGTTGGGCAGTTCACAATTGTCTATAACTTTAGCTCCAGGGGATTTGCCACACTCCCTTCTAGTTTCTGTGGGCACTGTACAAACACACACACAATGAGAGAGAGAGAGAGAGAGAGAGAGAGAGAGAGAGAGAGAGAGATACAGGGAGACAGAGACAGAAAGAGACTTTAAAAATAATGTGGAAAATCCAAGTGAGGAGGCTAAGACTGAGGCTGATTCTCATCCCTACACTTTACAGATGGAGAAACTGAGGTTCAGGGGTATCCCTATGGGGCATGCCTGGAAACAACCCCCTTAAAAAGTAGAGGGTTGTGTATCCTACTTTAGACATACTACTATGAGCAGCTGGGGTGTTGAGCCTTCCTCGGCACAATGGAAAAGCAGGAGAGAGATGTGAGCCTACTCACAGAACCCCATTAGAGCCGGGTTGCCCAGAAAAGAGCAATGTTCCCGAAGGGAGTGTGCAGAGCTGACCAGAGGTCAGCCCTAACAGCAGAGAAGCAAGCCTGCTGGGCACAGTGCCTGTGCAAAGGTCCTGAGGCAGTTGGCTGTGAGTGATGGGGAGGGAGGGGAGGATTGGAGACTGGAGGGGGTGCTTAAATGTGTGTCACTCTGAGGCCCATGAGAGAGAAGTTGCAAATTATCCCAAACCACCCAGGGAGCGTCTGGGACACTCAGGTTTTTGTTCTATAAAGTCTCTTCCTAGCTGTTGTGGGGCAGGGAGGGTCCAGGGAATGAGAAGGGGACAAAGGAGGTAATGAGGTCACTGCCCTCACAGTGGTGGACAAAGAGCCACTTCTGGGAAGCAGAGCAGACTGGGGAGGGGCTGCCTTGGGAGAGGGGACCTGCTCACAGAGAGGGAAAGGGGGCGTGGCCATCACAGGGTCCCACCCACACCCGCCTTGGCTTTAGGACTGTTGGATCCATGCATACAATTCTACAAGTAGCCACCAGATGGCAAACAGGCCTCAGAAAGAGCCTGGCCCGAGCGAGGCAGCAGAGGTCACCATGAGAGGGAGCCTAAGCCAAAAGGTACTATGGATGGCAAGACCAACACCCCAAGTCTGGAGCAAACAGATGAGAAATGGAGTATGTGCATTCACAGGTCCACAAACATGTGAACATGTGTTGACACACGAACATACAGTACTATCTACACTTAGGCGTGAACCTAGCTGCACACGCAGATACACAACACAGTGTGTATACACATGAGGGCACAAGTACAAACAAAGCCAAACACATGTAAATGTCCACTCGCACATGCTAAGACAAAACACACTCTTGCCTTAAGACACAGCTATATATAGGAATGTGTCCATTTGAATACATGCGTGTGTGGATGCATTCATATGAACGTATATACAGTTATGTGCTTGGAGACCTCCCAGGTGAGTGCTCTAACAGCCAGCCCTTTCTCAGTGTGGGAATCAGCAAGCCCTTCTGTCCCAAACTCTCCAGATCAAGTCTCGGGCCAAGGATTCTAGAAACCTAGTTAGTCCTTTGGGGAGGAAACTGGGCATCCCCACAGCAGCAACCAGCAACCGAGTGCTATGTCCTCTCACAACATAGCAGGGAACTTGGTCTCACCTGAGTGACAGACAGTTCTGTAGTGGGCAAAGGAACAGTTCTGAGAAGAACCTATGGGGAGAGCATCACACAGAAGACTAAGGAACCCACGTCTTACCTACCCCGGCTCTAAGAAAGGATACAAGGGTCACGCAAAAGTCCCCGACCAAATTAAAGAGCTCCATTGGATGGGTCATGAAAGAGTATGCTCTGAAACTGAGGAGTGTCACCCAGGAAACTGAGGCAGGTTGGTCAACACATACATCAAAGAGAGAAGCCACCTAAGAGTTGGTAGCATTCTGCAGGCCACACGGAATCAACTAGGGACTAGGCGTACTGTCTGGATGTTGCTTCTGGAAAAGCCTGAGGCGCTGACACAAACTTGAAATCCAGGGGCCATAGGCACCAGGCACAGGCATTGTCAAGTGCAGGACCTTATAGGCTGAGGCCCACACTGAGAACATCAGAAGAGATGTCGCCCTCTAGTGACCAAAACCTCCTATCACAGCTTTGTGACTGTCCATGTTACCAGGTTGCCTAAACCACATGCAAAACCACAGTGACACCCCCACAGAGGCAGGCACACCGCTGCCCGGCCCCACAGCCATGCGGGTACCCCTAATATAGTTAACATTTGGTACCAGGTGTGTCCTGGGTTGGATGTGTTGACTGTGAGGCTGGGAGTGGGGAACAAGGGAGTTTCCAGGAGCCCCTGAAATATGCTACAGAGACCACTGTGGGGTGCAGGAGCCAGGCCAGATGAAGCCTCCAGTGACCTGTAGAGAACTGGGTACTGCCAGGCAGGCCTCATGTCTGATTTGGCCCACAGAAAAGACACACATCCTATGCAGGGGGAAAGGAGGCTTTGGAGTGAGTGGCAAGAACGGAACATAGGCAGTGCCTGCCTCACACTTTCCTGGAGACTTCCAAAGCATTATCACGTGGGGAAGACAACGTCACATTCAGGCCAGAGACCTCTACAACTCAGGAAAATGATATTTCCTGTGGCTCAAGATCTAGAAGCAATAAAGGAAAGATAGAACTGACACATAAGAAAATGGGTGTCGCTGAGTGCCTATCACTGTGATTCTTCAAGACCCAGCAAGGACAAGCCACCCAGCTGACAGAGGCTGTGGAGCTATCACTGAGAAACGCCTAAGGCCCACTGCATAGACAGTAAAGGGCAGCTGATTGTACTCCTTGTTTCCTGTAAGGGTTAGGAACATCCCACCCCAAGAGGAAACCACAAATGCACTCAAGCAGAAAGACACTAGGTTGCACCCTTCTGGGCTTCACCACCTGTCAGCATCTTGTGCCCATAGTCCCAGACATTTTGGCCTCCACCACTTTCCCAGCAGCTGCATAACTCCATCAGCACTGCTTCTGAAAGACACATGGCTCCATGCCTGGCCAGCAGTGAATGGCTATACATGGCGTGTTCTACCTCATGGCGACTGTCCCCAGGCTCTTAAGTGCCCTGCCAGAACAGGGTCTGCCTCAGTTGCAATATCCAATCCTGGCCCTGTTTCAGGGGCTCATAGCTGCTAGATAAACAGTCCCTCAGCCCCTCAAAGCATATGGGTTCACAAACAACAGGGTACCCTGAAGGCACAGTTGGCTCTTCACAGAGTATGGGTCACACAGAACACTCTCCATGCCCTTCACAAACTATGGGGTCATAAAAGACAGTTCTCTAAGCTCTCACAGTATGTGGGTCACATAGGACAGTCCCTGGGCCCCTCGTAGAGTGACTGGACCCTGGTGTTTGACAATTCTATTCCTCAAACTTTCCACATGTTGCTCTATGCTGGGACAAGGCACATGGGTGAGATGTGGCCTACAGAGAGGGAGACCGACCGACCGAAGCTGTGTGCCAAGGTGCTTGTGGTGCCTACGAGGACTGCCATGATGGTCAGGTCTGCTAGAAATGATGCAGGGGATGACAGAAGGGCCTACCACAGAGACTGAGTTAGAGTCTGGGCTGGGATACCTGTAGGGCCCATGAGTCATCAATAACACACCCAAGAATCACCAGCCCTAGGCACTGGCCCCCACCCACCACCCCTCAGCGACATTGTACTTATGTCCTCCTGTCTGTCCTTCCTCTAGGCCCAGTCCAGAAGTTCCCCATACAAAGGCCTTTCTGAGTAACAACTCCAGGCCTCTCTGTTCTTCCTGCCCTTCAACACATAGCCCAAGGGCCTAGTAGGCATGGAAGCAGGGGAATTGCTCTGTCTGACACCCCAGTTCAACGTGGTGGAGAATGGGGGTAGGTGGCTCTACTCTCCCCAGCCCTCCTATACCTCTTCCACTTGTGGTGATGATATTTACTGATGTCCCTGGGTGCCTACATACCATCCAGAAGAGAGTCCCGGTGGCCAGAGCGGCATACTGCTCAATAGTGGACAGGACGCTGAAGATGAGGCAGACCAGAACAATGAGGAAGCTGTGAGACAGGGGACATATGGTCAGTGCCTGGTCCAGCTTCCCTGCCACCTCCCTCTCAACCAACACCCCACATGAAAGATCTTTAGAGCTGACCCCAGGTATCCCTCAGCTAGTACATTCAAACATGAGGTCCATAGAATAGAAACCATTTATCATCATGAGGACTGACACCTCCCCTCCCCAATTTGGTGTTTCTATGTACACAGACCTTGAAAATGCTATAATATGTGACCAATCCATCCTCATCTCAAGATCATCTGTCACCTAACTATTCTGGAATGGCACATAGGCTGGTGGCCATGGCCTTGGAAAGGGGACAATGGGTCAGGGTCTCTTAGGAGGCTCAATGGTCCAACCTCAGAATGTCTGAGAACACTGGTGCATAACTGAAGCTCAAAAAGAGCTGTTTTCATAAACTGGGAGCCTTCACCCCCATAAGTGCAGAAGGGTATATATAGTCCCTTAGCCAATAGGGAGACCCAAGAAAGAAGGGCTGAGCACATCCTGGACCTGTGCCCTGTGGGAACCTAGCAGGCACAGCTATCACACAACAGAGTTGCTGCTGCTCTGATTCCAAGGGCACTGAAAAGATAAGTTTCCCTTCCATTGAACTCTCCATTCCTAGGTGTCACCACCCAAGGTGGCCTTCAAAGTTGCCCCCACTTGGGGGACAGGGTAGTAGATAGGGAGATGATTTGGGGGTCCCTCAGAAACTCTACATGCTCTTGTGGCATGTTCTTGGGGATCAGAATAGAAGTAGGGTAGCTGACACATTGTCCCAAGGCCACAGAGGGGCAGACAGAAGCCATACACAGAGACATCAGGGCCCCAGTACAGACCCCTGCCCTCAACAAGGAACCCACATACCTTCCACCAATCCTGTATCAGGTCTTCCCAGTATGTAAGGCCCAGGCCACCAGCCTCAGCCTCCCAGGGGCCACACAGCAACAGTGGCCTGACTCAGTCACAGAGTTTCCTGAAGGAGGGAGGGAGGGAGGGAGGGAGGCACAGCTAGGGTCTCCTGAACCTCTCAAGACTAATTCCATCCATTCCTGGCCTCTGCAGCTGCCAGGAGAGACATGGAGGACTGACAGACTCAAAGGCCCCACTGACCACCTCCATTGCCCCCTCCTTCTACCTTTTCTGCCAAGTCAAAGCCTGCAGCCACATCTTACTATGCCCCCCCCATGACAGACACTTCTTTGTCATGCCCACTTGCTCCCTGATACAGAGCACATCAATGCCCCCTCCTGCTCCCCCTTCTCCTCTTCCATCTCCTCCTCTTTGCCCCAGCCAAGATGCCAACTCTACCACCTCCGTCTCTCCGACGTCATGCCTAGTGCGGTACAGCAGTGAACCCAGTCCTGGCTCCCTGTCCCTCCCTACTCACCTGAGGTCCTGCAGTCACTTCTCTGCCTCCAGGCAGGGCACCTGGATGCTCACCTGGAGCACACACCTGGTTTGGCCCCAGAAGAACCCCTGGGTGGGCTTTGGCCCTTGCCATTCCCCAGACTGATGCCTTCTCTACCACCATGCATTCCTCACAGGCCTAGGGCTCTGGCAGTGGCCAGCCTCTCTGACCCTGGCACCCAGTGCTGCTCCCACAGATTGCTTCCTCGTGTCCACTGTCCACATGGCCTCAGCCCTGAGGACCCTCCCAGAGCAGCATGATGAGACACCCCGGTCCTCCTAGGTCTCCCAGTGGTGTTCTTCCTAGTCAGTGGTGACCATGCTGATTGTTATATCCACGACTGTCTCCTGGACTATAACTGTGTGACACTGGTCCATAGAAGCCCCTGTAAGATGAACAAGCCACATGGGGCTTCAGGAAGCCCTGGATTTTGTGTGGACACAGCAAACATTGGGTTAGGGGAGAGTCCCTCTGCTCTCCATCCATAGGCTAGGCCTCTATCCAGGCCTGCTAGAGAGAGTTCTGACTTTCAGCCACGGATCCCCCAATTGCTTTCTGAGGCCCTTTTGGCTTCTGGAGACCCAGTTCTTCATTAGCTAGGCTCTGCTCTTTCTTAGGACTGACTCCTCACACAGTGAGGCCTCACTAATCCTGGGTTTGTTTTGTTTTGATTTGCAGCAGGCAGGGAAGTGGGGTTGGGCCCATCTCTAGGCAACAGAGAGTAGACTAGACACTCCACCCCAGACCACTGGTTACACATGGAGCCAGGGAGGGAGCAGCATGGAGAGATGCAGTCCCTTCTGGCTGCCCCTCTATAGTGATTAAGAGGGCCCCCATTTCAGATTTCCCATTGGCACAGTGGGAACTTAGGGCCACCCCCTGCATGGAGCTGTGGGGTGCAGCACAATGCACACACCTCAGGGGCTCATCACCTGGAAGTGGGGGGGGGGTGACTTTACTTCAAGGTCGTTGAATATCTCCCAAGCTTCTGGTGTCATCACACAAGCAAAGGTATGGTGAAAACTACCTACTATGCTGAGCACCTTAAGGCCCAATGTCAAGAAGTCTCCCACAGTCTCCCACCTGTGTGGTCAGGTCCACTCACTTGTCACCTGGCCAGGACTTGACAGAGAGTTGCACCAGTGCCACAAGACTCTGACAGATCACAGTGTCACCAAGCTAGAATCCAGCTGCTAATTCTGAGGTTCCTGGGGCTCCTAGGGCCGCTCAGCTTGAATCGTGGAGGTGACAATGACACATCTCTTAACTGGACTTTCGATTCTTTCACTGTTACGGTAACAAATTGGTCTTTCAAGCCCTCAGTAGCCTTCACTCAGGGATGGAATGGTCCAGGAGTGCCAGGGCACTCAAGGACCAGAGAGCTTAGGTGTAGCAAGGGAACAAAGACCTTCAAATAAGCCACAGAGGAACTGCTGTCATAGGCCACTCCGCCCATGTCTGCAGGAGGCTCCCGGCCCCAGGAGGGCAGCAGCTGCAGCCTGTGGGTGGAAAATTCCAACAGCCTGGAAGGAAGGTATCAAAACAAGAAGGCTGTGTGGAAGGCCCCCTACCCTCTGACTACCCCCCTTGCAGTAGGAAAGGTCATGGACCAATCTTGGGGTAGAGGTGCAGAGAAGGTAAATCCCTAGTGCAGACAGAAAGTGCTCCAGGAGGCTGACAGGGGCTAGGCAACACACCCACCAGAGCCAGCCCATGATGACCTGACCAGGAACCTTGGAGCTGGGGACAATAGTGGCAATCTGCCTCCACGTGCTGGCTGCTCTTTAGCCTTGAGCATTCCGAAAGCTAAACAGTTCTTCAAATATTTGAACACATTGTGCTGCCTGAGAAAGGGTTATACGGCAGTTTATTTGTTATCTACTCCCGATAAAATAAGCATTATCTTATTTGCTACTTTATCTGTTCTTGCCCTGGGTGGGGCTCGAAGCCTCAGAGAGGCCACATCAAGGGTCCCTATCTTTGGAGAGCTCATGGGTCAGCTGCCCACAGCACCCCCTCCTGCCTCTATAGGGCAGTCATCATCCCTCCACCTTACCTCCATACCTCAGGACCCCAAGGTCACACTACAATGAGATGCCTTCTCCATTTCCCCCAGCAGCAGGGGAAACTGAGGCCCAGGGAAATGCCTGTGTCCCTGGACGCAGACTAGCATGTTCTTAGGAGGGCTCACTGTATAGGATATGAAACAGAAGGTCCTTAGAAACAATGTCCTGCTTGTTCCGCTCTCTCCGAATCAAACCCATCAGCTGTGACCGCAGCCCAGCCCTGAGGGACGTCCAATCCCTTATCGGACATCACTTCAATATCTCTGTGCCCAGGTGCCCTGGGAACACAAGAACATGGCATCCAACCAGCACCACGTGGCTGTCCCAGCCGAAAGCAAGAAGGTACAAGGAACAGTGACAGGAACATGGACAGGCCAGCTATGGCAAATTGGGACTATGACTCGGAGATCTCCTCCATATATGCTAAACGCCTGACCAGTAACTGAGAGGCCAGTTACTGGCTGGGCCTAGACCCCTGAGCACTGAGACTTGCTCAGGCTCATGGTGATACTGTCCCCAGCCCACAGCACCTAATCATCCCGCTGAGGAGGACCATGCCCTATACATGCAAATAGCACAGTGTCTATTCCAGAGAGAGGGACCTTCAGCTTCGCCCTCACTAAATTTCCAGGACCCAAAGCATAGCACTGAAACATCTCAGAAGACTTTTAAGTTTTGTATCTGCATACATGATACTAGTGTGATGTGCCCTAAAAGTGTTATTTGTCTGGGGCAGGGGTGTCATGCAGAAAACAGCACTAGACGTGGGTGGACTTGGAAGACACTTGCTGAGATAAGCCAGGCACAAGAGAACACACTGCAGGATGCCTCTCCTCTGAGGCCCCTGGAGTTGCTAGATCTGCAGAGACAAAAGTTAGAATGGTGCCAGGTGCTGAGAACAATTTCCGTCTAAAACGAAAGAAAGTTCTGGAGGTGGATGGTGGGAGCGGCTAGCTATACATTCTGCGAGTGAGCGTCATACTGCTGGCATATACGCATAGGCACAGTCTGCCCTTGTGTTTCACCACAACTAAAATAGATTTAAGAAAAACAAAAAAACAGGGGCTGGAGAGACGGTTCCAGGGCCAAAAGCTCTTGCCGCTTTAGTTCCCAGTACCCATGCTGTGTGGCTCACAACTGCCCTTAATTCCAGCTTCAGGGGATTCAGTGCCCTTGTTTGGCTTCTATGGGCGCACACGCACGCATGCACGCATACATGCACATACAAATTAAAAAAGAAAGAAACCAAGCAAATGGCTTTGACAATGGAACTGGCCATGGGCTGTAACTGAAGCTATTAACACTCAAAGGCCCCCTGGGGACAGCTCTCTACAGGCCAAAAAAACAGTCAGCCAGCTTGTTAGGCTGAACTAAAAAAAAATCGAAGGTACCATGAGCCTTTGCAGTCACAACACCCACAGACTAAAAAATTCCTGATGCATGAGCCCTAAGCCGTGTCTAGGGGAGTTTGCTTTTGTTCCCCAGGGAATTACTTGAAAAGATTCCACACTACGCCTCACA